CAGCCGCTCGTACCTAACTATCAAAATCTGGCATACTCGTGGAACCTAGGACAATCTACGGATAGAGTGACCTCCCCCCCCCCCCCCCCCCGCTACAGCTTGGAATCGTCGGCGATTTACGGATAGAAGTGGCTTACCCCTGCTACAGTTGCTTATTTTGGGCCGGGCCACGAATACGATCACCGCTACCTGTCTTGCCGGAACTGACCCAGTGTGTGTACGTGCACGAAATTTTAACTGATACAGCCTGAGAGACTCATTCTCAACAGTCCTTCAGCGAATGTCAATCCATAGACATGCTGTTAATTTGTCTAACACTGCTAATATAATTAAAAAACAATTTCATTTTAAACACCTAATATTCAACCAAACTTACCAGTTGTCAATAAGCTGAATGGAACATTCATGTATCTGCAATAATGTCTTAGTAGTGAATATCGTGTACATATTTACATTGCTATTGTAGAGGTGCTATCAATCCCAACAATCCGATCGAAAATAACAAACCGTAAGGATCAATCTAAAATCCTTTCAATTTTAGTATACTTTGAATTCGTTACAAGCCGATTCCGTTTAATTCGTGGGGGAAAAGTGCTGCAGTAAATACGCGAGTGTATAAACAATCATGTGACAACCTGTCAGTTTACCTCACTTTCAACATCTCTCATGATCTCATGATACCATTTTCTGAAGTGCAGTCGGCTACATCGCACAGCTTCAAGGTGCTTTTAATGGATTTGGTCATATCCTTGAGCGTTGAAAATGTGAATACATCGTCGACCTTCACACCAACAAACGGAGATGACAATTCCTATTTCAATAGCTATAACACACTAACCATATAGATCGAGTGTTCCTCCAGCACGATGCAACTTGTTACGATACAATGTGACCCTGGTAGTCCCTCCAAGTCCATGGGAGTGCGCAAGATCGTGTTTTACCCTGGATTGGCAGCATTTCACCACCGCTACAGCCACAAAACCCCACAGGCAGTGCCGACATGACCGACATCATCCTGTATGAACTACGAAGTCAGGAAGTGTCGCATATACACGCAATTTTGTTACCGACACCCCACTTGGATCAGTATGTCGCTACCGAGGATGCGCAATATCCTGACCAAGTCCTCGCTACTTGCAACACCCATTCGTCGCGTACTTTGGAGAAGGCAAGTGGGGTCAGTCGGAGTTCGCCGCTCGGACAATAGACGCATACGTATATGCATACCAACCTGACATTACGACCATGCACGTGCCGGCATAGTGGGTCTCCCTCAGTGCTTAGTCGAACGTATGCACACAGGAAGGTCTCCGTGTACTCCGTGGTGGTGGTGTGAGTGTCTGCGATTTAGTATAGCAATTGCATGCACAGGGCCACTCTACCTTATAGAGCACTTGCAAGTACACACATAAGTCCTGCATGCAGTGAAACCATAACACGCACAGATTGCCCCTCCAATTGGCCGGCTGGCCACAAGTACAAGTGTTGGTGCTGGGATTCCAACCCCGGAGGTATTGCAGCGTGTGCTCATTTCAGGCGTATGGGCCATGTGACGCCGCATGCGACGACAGCTGAATGCAGGTAGTGCATATAGATTTGCTTGTAGATATCAATTCTGGCCGAGGAGATCCACGCATGCAGATATTCAGGAAGGTTGACCGATAGATTCGAAACTTCACAGTGTAAGCATGCTCTCAAACATCTCCGGATCGTCCGTGGGTATCTTCTTTATCGGGCTGTTGGGCAATAGTCAATAGACGTGGTGTGTAAATAAGCATACATAATTTAATTTATGTATATATATATATATATATACATATACATATACATATAAATATACACGAGAGTGTACATATAAAGGGTGAATTCTATGTATACATGTATACCGCTCGGGAAGCTTTTTGCAACTTCACTGCGAGTATATATTTGAGTGGGCAGATACTTTAATGGCACTGAGTTATAGTTCTGACTACAAATACGTACACTAAGGCATATCATATGCGGAGGTACTCATATAAAGTATGTCGTAGTACGTCTATCATTTAAGGCACGCGTTGTACGCGAATATGTCATAAGTGCGGTGGAAGGGGGGAGGAGGAAGCTATCCGGCGAAACACATACGTAATAAAACTCGTGTGTATATAAATATATCAAAGGGTTATTTTGTTATAGAAATATTTTATCATAGTCGTATTAAAATAAGGTGGTCTGGTTTGGACACACAAATAGAGTGTGCTGCTTTGTATCTATCAACGCGCACGTCTGTATCGAAAGAGCAACTGGTTCAAATGCTGCGAGAGAATATTAATATTAATGAGGCAGTACTCCGATTCTCAGCCACAACAGCTACTTCCACACATTCGCTCTCACACAACAAACAGCTGACTTGTCATGTATAACATGTATATATATATATATATATATATATATATATATACATAATCTCACACAACTGACTTGCTTACAGAAGAAGCGTATAAGTAGTGTTTAATACAGATATTTTCTCAATACACCCACATACTGTCTGGTGGAGTACTCTATCACGTCCAAGTGATTTACTGTTGTAACATAAGTGGATACACAAGACACACTCGTGGTCTACTATCAGTTCCCACCCACTGTTCGTAACACACAATCTCGCACACCACACACACACACTACCCTACCCCCCACATACTGTCCGAAAAATTTTTCTATCTCGTCTACCAGGCTGCGCGATTGGTTGTCGTGGCACAGATTAATGCTCAGTCCTTTACGCCCAAAGCGACCCGTACGGCCTATGCGATGCAGATAGGTGTCTGTGTCGGCCCTGCCCGTGGCATTGTTCATTGGGATGTCGTAGTTCACCACCACATTGACCTAAACCAACAGGTCGGAATGGCGCACACAGAGAGATAGAGATAGAGAGAGAGGGGGGGGGGGCGTGTGTGACTTGGCTGATATATATATATATATATATATATATTTCATACTCGCAACAGTGTGAAGCAAGTGATTCTGGTATATTTACATACATACTGTACCCGAGTTGGTGTATGTACAGCTAATTTGGTCTATATTTATACATACCATACTCGCATTGGTATATATTCGTCTAACAAGACACACACACACACAGCACTGGACGTACCTGGTCGATGTCGATTCCCCGGGCTATTACATTCGTTGTGATTAGCACCTTGGTTTTAGCTGCATGAGATAGAGAGTGGGGGTGCGTATATGCGATTGCGTGAGGCATGCACGACCTATACGACATGTTATGTGTATGTGTGGACGTAGCATTGAACAGTTGTGGTGTATTTATCTATACCTGTGTCGTGTATATATATATACGATATGGCACATTTAAAACGGCCAGGTCCGTACAAAGATCTTGTTCGTATACATGCAGCTCTTCGTGTATACCATTGAGTGTATGCAAGTATATGTACGATGTTTGTATGCGCGAGCATTTCAATTGGGCTGTTCATTTAACTCCAAACAACATCTCCAACTGAGGGGACTGATCCACGTGGACGAGTGTAGACATCGCGACCATAACCAATCCAATAACTTGCATATATGTAAACATCCATCCATAGTAGAGTAAGTTCTAATCTGTATACTACAGAAGCCGTACGTACGGCTTTATAGCCTGCACATCGAAACAGTGCATATATGTAATACGTACATCACGAGTACATTTATTGATAGCACATGCATATCCTCCTTATCTCCCTCCCTCCCCACGTCAACACATTCACGCACTTGCACGCATATATATAGATATAGATATACATACA